GTGGGAGAAACACCATGATGATTTGCAGGGTTGCAGCACTCTAAAGGCTGAGCTGTAAGAACGCAAGGAAACAGGTTGAGGAGTCTAAGAAACTTGGTGTGGGTGCCTGGACATTGTAACATTATGCACACTGATAGGGCAGAGATAAAAGTAGTATATATAATGTAACTGCTGAGGATGATGGAGAGAGAGTACCTTAGGAGCCACTGTCGTGTCTCTATTTTAGGTAAACTTACAGTTAAAAGGAGATGGTAAGAATTGTGGACCGGGCTAAACATTTTCTACAAGCTTAAGCCAAACATTGACAACTGGTCCACGGCATATAGGAAGAAAAGACAGGATGATAATGTTCTTACACGGTTGAGAATGACTGTCATATTCATATCTCACCTGGGACCGTACATTACCCAATCGTCCCCACAACAGTATCATGTGTTGATATACTGTAGTAGTAGTAGTAAACCGTCGCTCATGTCATTGTGCAAGTTAAAACACTGCAAGGAGGCAACTCGAAGCTGCTACAGTCAGGGCGAAAGTACCATTCACGGTAGAACCTTCTCGCAGACAAAGACCGAGTCACTGAGTCGCAATAACAAAAGCTCAAAAACCAATAAACAATAAAAACAATCTTAACACAAAAAATATAATTTCATTCAAAATTTTAACCTTAAAACTCAAGTTATATCATTTCTGTAGTGCACACTACGAGTGTAGGACAAAAGCCCCCTAGGACAAAAGCCCCCTAGGACAAAAGCCCCCTAGGACAAAAGCCCCCTAGGAGAAATAATAAAAAAATTTTAAGTAATTATTTTATATTTTTACAGTTAATGAACACTTCTCTAACCTAACCTAACCTAACCTTCGGGAATTCTGTTATAGTTATAAAGAAGTATACAAGGAATGTTTATTAAATCTGCAATGACGTATGTTTTGTCTACTGGTGTAATTACTCCCCTGACATTCAGTGACCTCACTGGGCCCTAGGGTCACCTCAGTAAATACAGAACGAACATGAAGGTAAACTATGTCGTCTTTTTTCTTTTCTATTTATTTAATAATGTTCTATATCAAAATTGAAAGAGTTATAATATCCTAATTATCTAAATTATAATAATTTCATATTTAAATCTATATATTTTTAACATTTCTAATGACCCTTTCTTTAACATAAAAACAGGGGGCTTCTGTCCTATTTTGCACTTTTACTGAGGGGCTTTTATCCTAGGGGGCTTTTGTCCGGGCCCCGCACACTATTCATGTGTGTAAATTATAGAGAGTTCTCATTAACAACATAACAGCAACATGCGTATAACACTATCTCACCCATAAGAACACCTAGGGATTGACCTTCTTTACTGTATACATTAGCCTTGTCAATATTTACTCCTTCAGCTGTTCCTACCCCTTAAGATGTGAATTACACGAAATTGCTTAGTAATGGCTGGTCAATATTGTGATTACGAATAGTAAAGGTTGGGTCACTACCCTACTACCTGAATATTATGGACACCTGTTGTCCCTTTGGTACTTGATCTCCCTCGCCTCTTGGGAACTTATATATATATATATATATATATATATATATATATATATATATATATATATATATATATATATATATATATATATATATATATATATAGTGTATTTAGATTACACCAAGAAAAGTCGCTTGTCACAAGTGATTAGATAACTAAAGTAAAAAAAAAATTGTATTTACCCAATTTTTCATCCTTCTAGACTCAAGATGCCGTCCAGTGTTACTATGAATGTTTTGCGAACACTAATAGGTGTTCAAGTGCGTAGGACGCGTTCATTTTCCTGTAAGCCTGAATGGAGAGCCCTAACACCCCAGCCAGTCACACACGTCCACGGCTTTACCGCATCTACTCAACAGCTCACCTTTAACTCTCACCGTTCTGTTTGTCACGAGGCTGCTTCAACACAACAATCCATCAAGATAACCTCCTGTTATATATACCAAGCTGAGGATCGATCATGGTCAGGCTAAAAGTATTCGTCTTACACACAAAGGTGTGAGTTTGGTAGCGCCTACTAAATGGTATTCAATATTTTATATATATATATATATATATATATATATATATATATATATATATATATATATATATATATATATATATATATATATATATATATATATATATATATTTTACAGATTGAGTTTAACAGTTGGCAATACATAATTTGTTTATGTATTTGAATAATGTAAACGAAGAACTGTGGACGTTCAAAGACTGATCTGTAGTACTAGTTCCTGATCTTCCATTTTGAGGGAAACAGGATCTGGCGTTCCTTCTTGTACGCTAGTTACACGTTTGGGCTGCATTTCACAGCTTTATACACGCTTTTCCTAAAAGATTGACTGGTGGATTTAAAAGAAAAAGTCCCACACTCCGCAGGAGAGCAGCATACATACAAGGCGAAAACATTATTATACCCCTGGCCAGCGAGCGAGGTCACTTCAATTCCTCGTCTCTTATTTTTCCTTATGTTATCTTGCTGAAATTTTTCATATCTAGAGGAGGGTAGATTCAGATTTCTATTCCAGATTCATCGTCACAGAAATGGCAGAGCAAATAAACTCTCTACCACACGTTTTCAATAATTCAGTGATGTCACTGTGATGATTTCACAAGTATAATGTTGGGGTGAAGCATGAATGACTTTATTGAACAGGCCTTTGTGGTTTCACTTTTGTATTAAAGAAACGGAGGCTGACCTAGTTTTGTCACCTGGTAATATCTCGAGAATCATATAAACTAGAACAGCTGGGTGAGGTAATACTCTTGACAGATAAAAAATATAAAAATGTGAACAGCATATTGAAAGCAATCTGTCCCCCGTATTGTTGAATATATGTTGAAATGTAGACTGATGTTCGTATAGCGTAATCCTATCGTAAAACCTGGGAGAAACAAATGCAGAATAACACACAAACGATATATATAAGAATATCCAATAGGGGCTGTGTAATTTCAATTTAAAATACTTTATTACTGGCACCAAGACCTTGGTGACGTCCTTAGATCAGTAACATTCATTGTTTATTTAATAGTAATAGACAGATTTCTCTCTACATGTGTGAACAACGTTTAAGAAAGGTGGCGAAATAATTTCATAGGTTTACTGCGCCTTGAATAGGAAGGAAACAACGCAGATGGCACCTCAGGGCAGATCTAGACCACAGCTGCTCAGACAGTTTTGTCCCTCGTACTGTGGAGGGTGCTGCTGCCTTCTGGACCACTAGACGGAGTATGAGTCACCCGAAATAATTTTTCTTACACAATGTTCATTAAGTTTGTAAAGCGTCCCACTGACAAAGTGATCTGCTCATATAGATGATTTATAAAAAAAAATATGTAATCATATGATCACATAGTGTGTCTGTAGCGAGGATTGCTGTAACTAAACACACTACTGTAACTATGCCATAAACTGGATAAAGTGTGAACGTATATACAAAGAGATTAATAAATTTCATGCAATTACAATTGAAAAATAAATTCCAGAGCTGTGATATATATACACATAATAATAATACGTATATTAAAATAAGAAGGTAGCAATGTGCGGGAACAAGAGGATACATCACATTTAAGTTTCACTACTAACTTTTAAAAGGGAAAGTAAGAGAGCTTCTGGCACATTCACATTACTGGTTTATTCTGATGTAGGGAAGACGACCGTATAGATGAATATTATGATCAGGTTAGAAATGAAAAAAAAAAATCCCTTCATTCAACCAGACACAAGCTACGTGACTCTAGCCTTTACTTGTATAGGCCTACAGCTTCATATATCTATTATCCAATACGGAAAAATCAGAAATAGATTCAAAAGGTAAAATAATGTATACAAGCAGTAACAGTGCTCTCTATCTCTCTCTTTCTTTCTCTTATATAAATGGAGATAAGCAGATATTTTGGACCCCCCCCTCCCACCAAAGCTGAATCAAGGCCACTACATAAATTAGCTAGCATTTCTGTACTGGACTTAGCTTCCTAGTTGCGCTACTTTCAAGCAAAAAATATCTCGGTGCCAGGTAGGAAAACTTGCCTCTGTCATAATAATCATCAACGTTCATTTCTGTTACCCATTAAATAAAGGACATATCGTTCATGTAATGTCATGCTGAATTTGGGACTTACGTAATGTTAAAAGGTGACAACTTTGAGGTGAGAATGAAAATTGGATAGATATATCTACATGCGATAATTCAAGACCCTTTCTGGGGCCTTAGGTATTTGGCACTGGGATGTTATGCATGCATTTGGTGTTTCAGTATACTGTCGTGTGGAAATGAAACTAATAAAATTAATTGTATGTGAAAGGAACAACATATTTACAGAGAGTCCTGAAAGTTGCCCTCAATACCAGCAGCTGCTAAGGGAAGTGATTTAGCTACTCATCTGAACCTGAACTAGCGACAGCCCATTTAAGACAGCTATTTATATTACATATGCTTCAGCAGAAACAGCTATAATAATTTACACAGTAAACACACCTAACTACAGCACTGTATATCTCCTATGGACTATACAGCAACTTCTGAGGTTCGTCATGCACCACTGATGGAATACCCATATTGATAAATGACCTCGACTTACTGTAGATCATTACTGACTTGGACAATCTACCTATTTAAGAATCCTCTAAGACACGAACACATCATTTGCTGACTGTAAACACTGATGATTAGACTAAATACCTAGAAAAAGTCATTTTACTGAACAGATAATAATGGTTCACTTATGGTTATCTTCAACCATCGACTGTTTATCAGTTTCAGGTACTGTAGTAACTGTCTATGGATCTAACAACTATCAGCTACTGTCTACCCACGTGTCATACAACAACTACTGCCTGTTTACTCTCAAACCGTAGATGAACCGTTTCATCCCCTATATCCTGTACAGCCTGTCAACCCTTCCACAGACAGTGATCAGGTCGTGCGGAAAGTGTGAAGGAGTACACACCTGATCATCACTGACCTGATGATCGGCCAGATGACGGTACTTGCAGGGCAAGAAGGCGGTGGCACCCAGCTGGACGGTCACGTTAGTGACGGAGTTGTTGGCGAAGTTGGCCTTGGGCAGGAGGTGCCGAATCTCCGACACAGGGTCTTCCGTGGATGTGTCTGTCGGCAAGGAAAGTCAACTTTACTATTTGGTTCACAACTGGTTATATCTTAATCAAGTAACGTACCTGGGAAATAACGGAATGAAACTCCGTCACCAAGATTGAAGACAGGAGTAGCAGATGATGTTCACAGCAAACAGTATGCAGAGAGAGAGAGAGAGAGAGAGAGAGAGAGAGAGAGAGAGAGAGAGAGAGAGAGAGAGAGAGAGAGAGAGAGAATAGGAGCAAACATTAAGCGCCGTCTCATTAGAACGAAAGAATAAATAATATTTTTTTTTAGTTGTATTCAACAAATCAGTGAACATCATAGCAGACTGTCTCCACCCCCCAACTCCGGAGCCCCAAGTGAGGATGTATAACGACGATAAGCATTGGTTTAGCCTTAGCCTTGGTTACTGCTATTATACTGTAGCTAAAAGGTCAGGTTATTTAATAGAAGGAACCACCGAAGGAAGTCCCGTAATCCAAGATACCTGAAAAAAATCTTAAATATGGAAACTTGACCCAAACAAACCTCAAGGAAAATTTCATATAGTCCTTCAATATGCCAAGGGACGACGGCTTATGGCCAGCGAGCACTTAAATTCGAAAATCTAAACTTTTCATGGTCTCGAGCACGCTGATAATGTTCCAGTTTTCTGCGTTAAAGTTAATGTTGTAGGTGGACTAAAAAAACACACACACAAAAACAAAACAGAATCTAATCTGGAGATGTGCCAAAGTGCCCTTCAGATAATCTCATTTTTATAGCCTAGTCCGTTAAGCTTAATGACGATGGCTCTCCGAATTCAATTAAGATCTTCATGGAGTCAAATCATTTATATGAATCGAAGGATATTGGAGACCTCAACAATTCTACAGACCAGAGAAGTAAATACGCAGAAGCTGTGTCATACGTACAAGGTGTATATCATAGACAGAAGAAATTAAAACTTGGAAATATATACCAACAATACGGGTGTGTGTGTGTACCAACCACCAAATAATTTGTATGTTTTTCAAGTTAATGATATAAACATTAGTATCTAAACATTGCCTTCAGGGGCCCACTATGGCGTCTTCGTGGACGTGGCCTTGTCGTGTTAGGTCAACACGAGGCATGTCGACCTACCCAGACAGGCGATGGGATTCGACCTGTCACTGGTACCGTACACGGAGAAATATCCACTCTAGTGACATGGGTCAGGTCAGGATGGGTGCAGCGGTGAGAGGCATCTCGGTACCCATAAGTGTTAAAATCGGCCTTGGGTAATAAAAGCTTACTGAATCACAATGAGTTCCAATGGGCGTTGGTATCTATGAAGAGAGACAGACCCAAAGAGAATCGCTTGATATATAGAACAGAACATAAACTAACTCCTTAGTCTAATAATGAAGCTTCGGCCTTCCTCAACCTACCCGACCTCACAGTAAACTTAGGAGAATTTCCACGTCAACTGTTTAGGTCCGGAAAGTGCCTATCCTGTTGCTGTGACTTGTGGCAACTTCTGCTAATTAACAAAGAGGAAGCACCAGAACAAAACTCTGGCACCTCGCCCAAACTTAGCTGACTCTCAAATTGTTGGTGTCTGGCCGAAATTTACACCGACTCCAAGCACGACTAAGGAAACTCTGAGAGCAAAGTTTAGTGTTAGTGTTTCAACACGTGCCCTGCCAACTGGTCCTGACTCACAATGACCCGAAAACTTCACCTTTTTCGGGGGGTGGGGGAGAGGGGTTATGGTTACCCACAGATCTAAACTTCTCACGTCAGAGTGCAGCTGTACCTAACTCTCCTACAGAAACTTGAACAACTTAACTCCCGGCCACCGCCCAGCTTGTAGAGTACCTAAAATAGGTCACTGAGAAAATTTGTACCTCGTATGAAGAAATTAAATTTAAGGGAAAAAATTAAAATATTACTTCAATAATTTCATATAAATAAGTAGAGATACTCATACCTCATGAACAGTTTGTTATATGAATGTAAATTATTCAGTTTTTATTTTTAGCTTTATATTATTATATTTTCTTTTTGAAATAAAGTTTAATTTCATTTACCCAAAACTGTTAGAATATCAATCAGAGATTATAATGGCTTATTGGTCTTTCATATAGAGTAATGGTTTTAATTATGATAACAGCTTCCACTGCATAACAACCGAACATGTTTGTTGTAACTGTGTTGTTGATATTAACATCCAGATAAATAATTTACAGCAGAAACCATTGTACAGTAGTATTACATCTACTAACACACACCAAGTGGCTCCTACCTTGGTATACCGTGCGTCTAGCGGCTGTTGAGACCAATACAATATTTTACACATTCTACGCAGATTAAAATCCACTTAGCTACATGACCTTCGTATGTAAACGGTAACTACATAAACTGCAAGATATTGACTAAATGACCCGATATTGTGTTACTAGAGAAGAACCACGAAATACATGATTAACTGTATGAATGATATATACAAAACAAAGAACTTAAATATACATACATATACAATAAAATACACAATCCCTGGAAATACACAGTTGAAAATTGAAAGCAGAACTGACCTTGTTGAGAGAGTGCGAGGACGTAGGAGTACAGGCAGCTTAGAACCAATACCAGCACCCGGCTTTGGTTCACCATCCTCCCACAAACCTGTGTCAAACAAGACAGTGTTAGCACCTTGATTTATTTTTGTTGTAGAAATGAAGTTCTCTCTCACTCACACAAAAGGTTTACTGGAAAATACAGCAACCCGAAGCAGAATATATATATATATATATATATATATATATATATATATATATATATATATATATATATATATATATATATATATATATATATAAGACACTAATAGTATATATAGCCTATACTGACAAGGGGAAGTAGGTCATTTAACAAAGGCTTTCCGTACAAAAGGAAGAAATGTGGGGTAAACATAAAACTATTGATTATTTTTACAGTTGTGGAAAGATTTATGAATAGAGTTGTGTTGGTTTGCTCCAATTGCGGTGTCACAGCAACAAATGGACGAGGAACCACAGGTGGTAAAAGGTGGTGTTGGCAAGGATTGTACTTCTGCTTCGTCCCAAACTATTAAATTAACACACGATGCTGATCAGGGAGGATAGCTGAGAGAGCCAGTGTACGGAGTGCCTCTTTGGTCTTGATAAACGGATCTTAGAAGCATAATTACATTGTTACTTAGGAATCCATTACCTTGTTTGACAAAACAAAAACGTAGCGGGAGTGCTATGTCGTGCTATGTAAATATTGGAATGACCTCGACTCTAGGTTGGCCATTTTGTGTGTGTGTGTGTGTGTGTGTGTGTGTCCACCACTGCGGAAATCGATGAAGAGATTCAACATCGGACCAGATGTGCATCTCAAGCCTTTGGTAGACTCTGTATTTGTGTCTTCAGCTGTAGGGAGCTGAAATTATCTACAAAGTTGCACGTATATCTAGCAGTGGTCCTCGCCACCCTACTATATGGCAGCGAGACATGGGTCATATACAGGCGGCACCTCAAGGCACTTGAAAACTTTCACCAACGTAGTCTACGTTCCATCCATGGAGTTCGCTGGGAAGACAAGAGAACAAATGTCAGTATTCTTGCTGACACTAACTGTAGGAGCAACAAGGCTACCATTATACATGAACAACTTCGCTGGACTGGCCATGTAGACTGCCAAAGCAGCTACTCTACAGTCACCTAACGAATAGTAAAGGTAACGCTGGAGGGCAACTGAAAAGGTATAAGGATAGTCTTAAGACAAACCTGAAAAAGTGCCAAATCGACCCCCTCACCTGGGAGTCGATTACTCCACACCGTAACGCTTGGAGGAGCACTACACGAGGTAGTGTCAATGCTTTCGAGTTAGCCCGACTGTATACCGAGGCAGACGAGCACCAGCACCGGAAAGACGCTGCCGCCGCCCCTCCCGCAACATCTGTGGACGACCCTGCCGGTCCCGTATCAGCCTCTCTAGTCACCTAAGAGCTCACCAACCTAGATGACATCCTTAATAACTCATATCATTGTATCATAGCTGGATGATCGTCATACTCAATCCCGAGTGACAACAAAGTAGTAGTAGTAGTGTGTGTAGGGAAGGACTATTAGCCGACATCGATAATCGAACAAAAATGACATTGAAATTCTCACCACTGCTGTTTGCCTTATGCTAATAATGGGATAATATGTAATTTCTCTGAGAATAGACCAGACAGTTCCAGTTATTAGGACTGGCAAAAATAATCGGACCTAAAGAACGAAAATCTTAAATATTTCGAGATCTTTTTTATTTTTTACAGGGAGTCAAACTTCTGTAAAAGAGTCACATCTGTTTGTCAATTAAATACCTGGAAGCTGATGAATAGTTTAATTTTAATAAAAAGTAAGAACATAAGACTATTTTACAAGAACAGTTCACCCCCCCACCCCTTGACAAGTATGGGAGTCCAATTGGTCATAAAATAATGCAAATTCTTCTTTCTATCTTAAACGACATTGAATTTCACAAAATTCTCAAAAGTGGGTCTCATAGCACACTGTATGCTGAGCCTTCGGTACATAAGGAGGCGGCATGGCCGGTATTGCACTCAATCGCATTTACTTCCCCCAAGTTGTAAAGTTAGGTGTACCCATTTGCAGCTGAATGAACTGGGAGCGCCCGGGGATCGAACTACCGACCCCTGGGATAGTAGGTGAGCACTGTATCCACTCGACCGAAAGTATTCCATATGTGGCAACCATTACTCTTCGACCACTTTTTTTTTTCAGGAGAGGTAAAAGATAGGCAACAAATATGTTTCTATGTAAGAAAAGTAACAAATGAACTGTTCCATGTCACCGTGGGTAAAAATATATTTTCCGCGATATAACGAAGCAGCTGAAAACAAATACTTTGACACCTTAAAAAATATATATATTTTAATGAAGTCGTCGGTACCTATAGGAGCAAGTGACAGTAATGGCTGGGTTATGGTTATATGCCGCTCCATTAGAATTTTGACCGCCTATTATAAAAAAGGGTAGAGACCAACGCTGAGGGTAAACACTCGTAAATATGACCCTTGAGAGTTGAGTCTGGCCATTGTCTGGTGACCATCAATTCTGCAGAACGTAAAATAAAATACATTTTACGACGTCTACCCAAGCATTTACAGGTTTTCGGGGCAACAAAATGTTAATGCCAGTAAACAAGAGGGAGAGAAAATATTGGGTACTTGAGGAGACCAAATGTTGCTTGACACAACAACACAATAAACATAACGACCCACTTCCCCCGTTCACACCACTATAAAATGACGAGTGTGAACACAAACATCAATTGAAGAGGGTGCTAAAGTGTCGCTTCTGAACATTAGTTTGTACACGTTACGACGTCTTGGGTCCGGCCGGTGAAATTCTAGTAGAGCCAAAATCTCTCTCTATTATGAGTTAGACTTTATTGACAGAGAAAAATATAGTATTTCGATAATAATGACTTATTTGTCTATTACATGAAAGAATATTAAACCTAATATTATTATTATTTTTATTATTACTTTGCTTTGTTGTTATAAGCAAATCATACACTCGCCGATTATGCTGATGAAAAGAAAATGGCCCAAACACACACACACACACACACACACACACACACACACTCTTAGCGACATACGAGACAAAAATATCAAATGTTAGCGTATGAACAAGTCACTATTAAGCTACAACAATAACACCATAAACTAAGTCCTATTTGACAAAAAAACATCAATAACCTATTATTAGTTTGATAATTTCTATTCATTTTTTATTCACTCATTTCTTGTATTTTTTATCATTAATTTTTTTTCATGATTTCATTGATAACTTACAATTCATAACTTTGTTTCTTTTATCCAAACCTGATGCGGTCACTGCGAAAGTAGGGCACTCAATGGTTACTCTCTAAAGTAGGGCACTCAATGGTTACTCTCTAAGGAAGGGCACTCAATGGTTATTCTTTAAAGTAGGGCACTCAATGGTTACTCTCTAAAGTAGGGCACTCAATGGTTACTCTCTAAGGAAGGGCACTCAATGGTTACTCTCTAAAGTAGGGCACTCAATGGTTACTCTTTTATTTGTATTTTTGCTTTGTTTTACTTCTTTATTTGATTGCCCGGGCGATATATCACAGTTTTTTAGATCTAGAAAGTTAAAATTTAGCCAGTGTGTGTTGTGTGATCAGTCAACGAAGGCAGGAAGTGTAACAAATTGGGATTCATTATTGTTATTCAGGGAGAGAGAGCGAGAGAGTCTATTGAGTGGGGATGGCTTGAGAAAAACTCTTCGTGTGTCAAACTCATATTTCAGAAAGACGATAAAGTTGTTTACCAATGACAGTTTATAGAGATAATTGAGGTAAGATCTATAGGTGTTTAAATGGAGACTGTCCCGTTTTAAGGATGGTTTATTGTAGACAAGTGGACAGTGAAAGACGGAAAAGGTTATAAAGGATTTTGATTATTCGGTGAAATATATTGCCAATAGTAAATTCATGGTGGTGGGGAAGGGATAGGTGGGGCTGAATTGTGGAAGGAGATTGTCCGGGTGGAGTTACGAACAAGTGAGTTATATAAAAAATAATAATTTCTTGCCGGGGTGAAATAGGGTGAGCTGTAGGAGGGAAAGTAGGACTGGAAAAATTGCGCCGAATTGATTCACCAGCAGCACCAGAATTAATGTTACTGTAATACCTTGCCAAGGGACTCCATTCTGAAATGTAATTATTGGCTGAACAGTGAGGTCTACTATTTGCATATCGTTGAAAGTAAATGTTATGAACTTGTTTTCAGTGTTGGAAAATGAAGTTTCAGACAGAATCACTTTAAGCCATGCCGATTATATGATCGTATATTTGTGCTAAGTATACCTTTCATAAAGTGTCATCACCAACAACATAATGTGTCTCCAAGTCATCATACCAGTAAGGTACTCTCAATAATGTATGTTAGGTCCTACACTATAAGAACACCATTTCTGATTTTCCATAACAATCTCACTCAAACCCGGTGCCGTCTCCCAACCAACCCCGTCCGTGAGACTGATCAGTTTACCTGGTACAACTCCGTGCTAATTTAGACTACATTACATATCTAATCCTTACTAAATAATCTCTACTAACACAAACTAACCTCGTGAGCAACTGGAACACATTTAGCTTTACATCGAGGCACAGTTTGTCGTCGTCAACATCTAACGCAAATGTCACACTTGAACCAAATCCAGTTAATGCTTCCTACTCGTCCTCCTCCTCACCTACATCGTCTCCTGGAGTTTCAACACTCTCTGTCACTTACCAGGCACGAAGCTCCCACCTTTACGGTTCATATCCATTATGGTTTTTTCGGGAGTCAAAACACTACTCTGTTAAGTTTCCCCTGACGACTCATACTCTTGCACGCTCCAGGCTGATAATTTTTCCCGCCATCTTCCCCCTAGCGAGCCGGTGTAACTCTTCCTATTTCTGGCCTGACCTCTCCTGGTCCATAAACAATTATGAAATTTGTTCTAAATTGTGTAAAATGAAGTATATTACTGCCACCTACAAGGTTAATGTCCCTCATATCAAATGTCTAGTTCCTTGCGTACAGTGCCGCCTCCGAACCGAATAAAATAGTCTGA